TGCGCCCCTCAGTCGTTATTATTCAATTATAACAGTAGCTGGAAAAGCAGCTCTGGCATTTACTCGGTAGAGTTCCGCCTGTCTTCTTGAGGATGGCACAGCCGACGCACTCTGCAAAGGTGCCATTCCCGTTGTAGCTTCCTACAGCAACACCGTTGGCGATCAACGCGTCCGTCTCTGTCTTACTGTACTGAAGCTTTGCAGTCGAGACGCCGCTGTCATACGTGTAATTGTGGTTCGGCAGATAAATGAGCGTCAGCGTGTTCTGCGTATTGCATCCAAAGAATGTGGGCCTTATGTTCAAGCCTTGACTAACGAATGTCGTGTCGGGCGGAATGACGGGCATACGAGTGAGTCCATCAGACTTGGCAATCTGGTACGTGTTGTAGAGCTCAGATCCGTTGGGGTAGTTGTCAGATGTGTCGGCGCTGTTATCATTGACGAAGAGGACGGCGACGTTGGGGCGGTGCAGGAACGGCCAAATTGGATTGTTCTGGTCGGTTTCACCTCCATCGACGAGGGAGAGCTCGGTTTGGTTGCTGACCGAGGTGGCACCGGGATAATTTTGGAAGGGATTTGGGTACACCGCGTACTCATCCCGAGTAACAAGTTGGTGGCCCGCGCCAAGGAAATTAGTCAACTCAGTGGTCAAGTTTGAGGAAAGACCAGATAGAGTTGGATCCGAGATGCAGACTTCATTGAAGAGGTTCGAGGAGGTACCGAGAGCGTAGCCAAGGTTGTCGTAGTTGGTGTGGCAGGTACCATTGACGGGGGAGCCGTTCGACGCACTGGTACCGAGATACTGTGTCTGAATAAAGGCACCGACACCTGAGTCCCAGGAACCGAATTCGTAAGGATGTAGCTCATATTGGGTACCATTACTGCTTGGAGTGCACTGACCCACGTCCGTGTTGACGCCAATCGAGGTGAGGATAGGGTAGGGAACGGCCTGTGAGGTGAAGTTTGAGTTGCTGGTCAGGCCATGTAGAGTATCGGAGACGCCACCATCATTACCCGAAAGGAGCTGATATGCCAACAAACGACCATAAGGGTCTGTAAGTGTCGGGTTGAAACCAGCAGCAGACTTGGCTGCAATGTCATTGGTAATCACGGCATCGGCAACTGCCAGCAGGGCTCCGTCGGGGTCGAAGAGAGATTCTTCAAAAGCAGTCTCCCAGAGGTTCGTCTTCAGGGAGGTAATGGTAGGCCAATTATTACCAGAAATGGAACTCAAGAGCCAAGCGCCTCCCGAAAGACCAGCTTGATAGGTAAAGCCTTGATAAAGGCCGCTTAAACTGGTGTTGCCGTCTCTAGCGTCCAAAGCCTGAAGTACACCAGCACCAGTAAGGAGGGATCGGTAACCACCACCACTCGTAGTTATGCCAACAATTGGGAGATTAGTAGTAGGGAAGGTCGAATCAGTCTTGGTGAGCCATGCTGCAAGAGCAGCGTTTGCCTTAGTCTGACGTTGCTGGATGTACGAAGATTCGGCCGAGGAAACGTCATTAGCTTTGCGAACGGGAGAATTGCTTGGACATGGTGTTGTCACAGGCGCGTATGGGGATAGCGCGCGACCTTCGAGCGAGGACAACTGCTGTGGTAAAGCGAAGGTAGAAGCAGCAAAGAGCGCAAGAGAGGAAACGAAAGATTTCATGATGAGGACAACGAAAGACTGCTAGAAGACCTACCGGCGCGACATGGATAATTCATCGCAGGCGAGGTCTACCTTTAACACTTGTCAGGCCCACCTCCTAAAACCGGATATGATATGGTGGAGTGGCAACAAAAGAGGCAAGGCCCCCTAGCGTAAGCGAATGGTGGTGTCTTGTTGGTATTCTGTTCGCTAAATTTTCCAATGAGCCCTTCCACCTTACGCATGCCCTCTCGCTTCGAAACGTCGGAGACGGAGCTAAAGGCCAACAATCGGCGTTTTCCTATGGGCGATGGCAAAAGCCGCCATACACGTGCCTGAAGGCCTGGATCAAAATCGTGTCTTGAAGGTCCGACGAAAGCATTCTGCCAGCCGTGTAGATCGCCAGGGCACGCAAGACCCAGCCTCTTAAGATGCCACCTTCCAAGCCCATCGTCGACTCGCCGAATGGAGCCCCAAGGGTGGCGTAGTGAAGGCGCAAGCTTCGGAGTTTCCAAAAATGGAGATTACTGTGGGGTTTCCTTGCCTCACGACGGATTCGCAGGGTACAATTAGTACTAGGGAGGGTAGCAGAATGGTAAGGTGCCGGCTCCGTGTTAGTGTCTCCGCTTGAAGTGTGCACAAGGGGAAGTACAAGTCGATGGACCGGCATTTGGAACCTTGATCTGGGTAATTCGTAACCAGCGAGGCTCACCGGATGATCCATAGTCTGATCACAGAGCGGGATATTGTAGGCATGATGGGGTGATGCAATGCTAGGATTGGATGGATCTGAGTGCGTCTGGAATCCACTTTAGATGGGCGTTTTATGGAAAGAAGAGAGTCGGCTCTGGCTTCTCCCACCCGCAGTGATTACTTTTCTCGGTAGGGACCGTGGTTGAGCGCCTATCATGCTACCGAATGAGTTCCATCAAACAGGGCCTTGTGCACATGGACTTGAACTCGACCATGGATAGGTCCTTATTTAATACCGAGTATCCGTACGAATGGATCAGAGCTTGGGTGGCTTGCATGAAACCGAGTTATTTAGACTTTGGATTCCTGACCAGGATCACACGGATCGATGATGCCGTGTCCTATCGATAGCACGGCCGTCGCCTCACGTCGAGGACGACATCATTTCTGCACAGCCTCATCGCTTCTTCATTTTCCTCGCCTAACGTCGCAGTCGAGGAGACGTGAAAAGCTGAGGGGTTGAAGAGAAATGTTAGCGGCGGCGCGTTTCGTGCTCCGTAGAAAAAGGCCAACAGGTGCAGAGTACGGAGTACGGAGTATTACACGGAGTATTCTAGTACTCCGTATGCATACCATGGCTGCGGTAGGCGCCATCCGCCAATTAGTTGTCAACAAGTGGACACATTCAAGCATCGCCTCATAAGACAGAAGGTCCAAGGTGCTTGAAACTTCGTTGCACCCCAACACTTACACAGCTTTTCCGGATTAAACCCTCGCGATAAACGGTCAGCACAACCTCCAGAAATCGTCACATAGCAGACTCGCCTTAATCTGAATTGATCCTAATTTACCTTGTAAATATCCACGTTGTCAAGACACGATATTTCGTCCTCAAGAGGCATTTCGTTATTGCTCGAAGACGGTCATGATTTCATCGAACTCCATAAGATCTCTATCCACTGGGATGATAAGCCCCATTCTCTCGATTTACTGGACTTCCTGGGCACTGAATGATGATAAGAGATCGAAGGAAAGAACACCCATAGTAACGATACGTGGAGAGGGCATGACACGCACATTGAACCATGGATTCACCATATCTACCCTAGTATCCTTCCAAATGGCCCTCGAGCGGGCTGGTAAACACCATGGCGAAAGGAAGATGACTGGCTATCGGTAAAGTATAGGTATTATGCTCAGTTCTGTCAGAATCTGGCGAATGTCGGCTATCACTCTGACTCTCAATATATAATGTTTGAAAACGACGTCCATCGAGCTAACTCTTCTCCATTTCTTCCAAGATTTTGCGTCAGTCTTTTCATTCATATCTCACTCACTTAAGAAAGGGATTGATGAACTGAACCAGCGAATGATACCGTATCAGTTGAGTCAGAAAGCATCTCACTATCATTGACGTAATACAGTGATATCTCGGTATTTTCGAACATACTGCAGCACGTCCTATTGTGTTAATAAATCTCAAGAGGAGAGGTGACATTTGTGTGCTGAAAACCCTTCAACTTTTGGACTCATTCCTTCACAGATCTGTGTGCCAAGTTCGGAGGCACCGCCAATGTCAAGGCCGAGATATTCGAGCTTGCATCTCGATACCCTACAGAGGATGACAAATACTCAGAGCGTATGAGGAAGTTGTTCAAAGAGGCTAGGAACATAGCGGAATATATTCATGGACAAAGCAACCTCTTCCAAAGTCCCCAAACCAAACTCGGAGTCAGTGACAGGGTTTAAGAGCATAGCGTTCGAGATCTTCTACAATAGAGGTGGATTTTGGTATTTGAAAGCGTGGAAGGCAGGTAGTGTAGACACCTAGGATCAGTAAAGGCAATGCTTCAGTGCATGGTGGCGTTGTCGAGCCGTTAAAAACTGTGTGGAATTGAAGTAAGTGAAACGATTGGGAATTGCACATTAAAGTGAGTGACTTGATTGATTCAGCTGTCGCTGCCATAACTGGTAACAGGAAGTAAGCGATCGTTTTCATAGACATGAGGAATTGTAATCTGTTGCAATTGTGGCAGTCTGTTCTAGATAGCAGACTCATAATGGAATGAGATAGAATGTAGCAGTCTAGACGATAGTGACCGAATTGATGTTATGCTCAGGGTTCCTAATCGTTACTGATCGACAGAGGTTCTTATTAAAAAGCAACTGCATCAAGAAGGTCGATCTTATGGGCAGCAAAACCCATAAACTATGTGAATTTAACAGTTCTAGACCTCAATCTAACACGAGCGGAGTAAAGGACTGGATGAGGCATCAATTTAGTTGAAAGGACAGCTTGTCAAGTTGATTACCGTCTATTCTTGGAATGGGAAGATGGACTAAGTGCAGTGAGAGGCGCTAAGAAATCGATACAAGGGCTCCTGTGTTAGCAACATTATGCACATATCCTTCAATATCGCTGATAGGAGGTAAGCCAAAACAGCGCAGGCAACAGACTCAATCCTTACTATCATATATACATGCATCACCTAAAACACCTTAAACAGTATGCAAAATAAGTACAAAGAGGTAGGACTTATGCTAGTTGGGATGCCTACTAGTTATTAAGGCAGACTTGCTGTCGAGCTATGCGACACTTCCGCACTTAGAGGACATAGAGAGAGAATTTTATTTAAAGAATATATTCAAAAAAATTGTCAGTCCAGTATATTCAGGACGTATGGCCCAATGGCAAGGCGCGTGACGTATGCAATACACATTCCGATTGATAACTATAACTAACCGTCCATAGTACGAATCACGAGATTCCAGGTTCGACCCCTGGTACGTTCAATAAGTTTTTTTTCAAATTTTTTTTTTCTAATCTCTCTAAGACTCTCCTAGGGGTATAAGGAATACGTAACCCTAGGGATTCTTTGAAGCGCAGCTGATGGCGCGGTGCCCACATATTTGGATCCCTGTTCTTCTGCTTAATTCAATCCTGCCTCCGTAACTGCGATAACCTCTAGGGGACAAAAAGTTGGCATATACAATATTAAATTCTTACTACCGTTCTGCCATTGTTTTGTCCCCTACAGGCTATCGCAGTTACGGAGCCAATCGGGATAGCTCCGAACGTGTTTGGCTACACAAATATTTCAAAATCCGTATCAGCGCTAAGTAGAAGGGAGGCTATGTGGTGGTTGTGCTGCTACACCTGATCTGGCAATAGGTCAAGAACCCTAAGGCTACTGAGCTGACGCGTCAACTCTCGCTCTCAGAGGGAAATCTGCTTTCGTGATGGGAAATTTGACGGTGATAAAAGCATAATAAGTAGCGATGATCTCAAGCTATATTACTCTAAGGTGTACTGTGTCCAGGAGTAAAGAACTAGGATGGCTTCTAGAAGAAGATCTGTCTAATCTCATATCAACCGTTTTTCACGTTTGATGATCAAGATACTCTTAAAGGAAGAGGAAAAAGTGTTCAGAGAGGATAGTAGTAGTATTATGTAGGAGAACCGCACTCCCAGAAACCAAGAAAGCTCTAAGGGTGGGCTAAGGAGTTTCTTATATGAATTAAGGCTTTTGACGGTTTTGGGCTGTCTGTTTTGGGATTCTCACGATGGCTGTGTAAAGTTGATAGTGTTTTCTTAAGAGTGCCCCAGAAGTGCAAGGTTCCCAGTGTAATTCTGCTCAGTCAGCGTGCTGATACCACTAACCAAGTTGGGTGTATGGAGAGGTCATTTTGTATGGGAACATAGCGACGATCCAGATTGGTGCTCTAGTTCTGGATCACCCGTACGAAGATCCAGGCCTCTGATATATCACTACAGAATCTCGAACGTGCCAAAAATCACATATGCACCAGAGCTCCGGCGTAGAGGCTGAATACGATCTAGACTAGGTCTCGGCGTACCGAATTGCACGTATCTTTCGGCAAATACTCACATTGCAGATTGTCGTAATATTGATGTGAGCCTCATAAATATACACAATCATTCAAACTGCAAATTGTACTGCCCGCTTCTTTGTCGACGTAGCAGTCAATGTCCCATAACCGCCGTTCGACAAACCCGTGTCAGCCTGTGATTTGTAGATGGTGCCGCTTTTCCCGTATGATTTGACTGTGTTCACTGCGAATGTGTCGACCTCATCTCTGGGCGTCGCACCGGCGTTGGCCAATACCGAAGTCACTGCAGCTGCAGCACTGTTCGTCGCCAGACCGAGCGATGTGCTTGCCCATGGCTTGGAGAGCACTACTGCGCTTCCCACGCTGTTGGCTGCAGCGCCGTTGAGTGCACCGTCCTTATTACTGTCAAGGAAGTTTCCGGTAGCGTAGACGCTCTGCTTGTTGTCCATCTGGTAGTAGTCGTCGCCTGCTGACGAGGTACTTGGTCCAGCGATGAAGTAATTGTTGATAATATCGTGGCTAAAATAGCCGCCGGTATTGGCGGATGTGTACGCAGCTTGGTAGTTGTAGACGATATTGTTCACGTATTGGGTGTTGTCTTTGCTCAGTGGCTGCCGATTATGTGCGCTCACCCAGAGGTTGCCGTAGAAGGTGCTGGGGCCGGTTTCAACATGCGCGCCAAATTGTTGACCGATGGGAAATGCAATGATGGAGTTGGAGACGGTAATATTGACCGCGCCTACTGCATCGATGCTATCAAATTGTCCGTATGCAAAAGAGCAGTGGTCTAGGATCACGTTCTTGGCATCGCCCATATTGAAGGCGCTCTTGCCGGTGTCCGAGTCCATTGTGCCCTGTCGCATCCTCAAATTTCGGATGATGATGTTGCTCTTTCCACTGGCTGAGATTTCGGCACCCATGAGTCCAATACCACCGCCTGGAGCAGTCTGGCCGTTAATGGTGATGCTGCTAGACAATGACACGGCCGACTTGAGCACAATGTATCCCGCAACATCAAAGACGATGTTGCGATTCGAACCACTGACTGCATCACGGAAAGACCCTGTCCCTGAATCGGCAAGATTCGTTACATGGACTGTCGAACCACTATTCCCACCAGTCGCGATGGCGCCAAAGCCAACAGCTCCGGAGAAAGCATTTTGAGCCAGAACGGCCTGCAAGCAGACAGACAGAGTCGCGATTAGAAGACCAAGAAAGCGTGCCATCGTGAGAAGTTGTCAAGAGACGAGAGTAGGGTAATATCAAGAAACGAAAGAAGTGAATGATCCTAGGAATTATTTGCGCGCATCTCCACATATGAAGGGAGTGTAAACTCCTTTCAGGGATTGGTGTGCCTCCGGGGAATATAGATGAAGCTCAAACATTTTCCTCCAATTACCCGCTCAGAAAGGTTAGACACATGGCGGCAGCGAGAATGCGCAGGGTCCCACTAATTGCGGAACTTGCGAACTTGCCTTCACAGGAAACGCGTAGCTTGTCAGCAGACCTATCTTTCAAGGGAAGCATCGGATGGAGTATTTAAATTAGCAGACCGGCCTAATTTAAATCGGGGTGCAGTTCTGGTCAGTGTGTTTTCCCGTCCCCGCAATTAGAGTACTCGCCAACAATTTGTCCAGAAGCTTCTTCAACCACCTGAGCAAAAAGCAGTAGAAGCCACCATGCGTATCCAGACTATTCCTATATGCGACAATATGGCCAGACCGGAGGGCAGCAATGGCACCCTATAGCGGACCTTCCAGATACGTGGCAGGTAGAGCCTCTTGGAATTGATCTTTAGTATTTTGCAACGCAAGTACAATAGGCCACTCAACCGACTCGGAAAACGTAAGCCGTGTGTATCGGACGTGGCAATTGGGTGCAGAGGCTGCCTTGTTTCGACTGCATTCTTACTGCTTTGATACCGCAGCTGCTAATGGCGCAGAACACAAGACATAAGAGCAGCACTGGCTGCGTCTGCTGGTTCAACTGTACGTTTTAGATTATGGCCATCTCCTTCTGAACAGTTGAACACATTGTCACCTTGTGCGGCTCTCAATGCAGTATAAGGTGCGGGTATGTCGAATGAGAGGGTCTAGGCCATCTTGACTGGCGTGTCTGGTCTTCGGACTAATGCTCTTACCGCTCAAAGAACTAGCCGAGCGCAGGATCTGAGAGGATAGAGTAAATTAAAGAAAAAAAAAAAAAAGAAAAAGTATTCAAAAAGGGCAAAACTGTAGCCTGAGGAGGCCGCAGAAACACCTCGAAGAGCATTTCCAGTGGTCGATCCCGATCCCCAATCACAGATTTGCTCCCCATATGGCGCACTTAATCAATACACCATTCGACCCTCTGCTGAGAATCGGTAGTATAAAAACAAATAGGTATACCTTACAAATTACCTAAGCCGAATATCAAGCGCTGTAGCTTTCGGTCTTTCCGTCTCTCCGTCCTGACGAATCTCCATACTTAAATACTCGAACATACGCCAGTATATAGTGCAGATTTTACTGCCTCAATATCGTAGGGTCCGACAGCGAGAGTGTCAGTACATACGGTTATATGAATATCAGACTGTCGTGGTTGCCATAGGATGAAGACGTATGGTCATATGGTGCAACGTTTCGTAGCCACGACGAATGAAGGGCTCTACCCGGATACAATCGTGATATGAATCACAAAGACCCTCATCGCTAGAATTCATGCTTATATTTAGCTGAACAAATTTCCAAGCAAATTTAGCATTTGGACACCCTGCAGATGGCAATAAAGCGCTGACATCCAATCAGCGGCTGCACTTTACCGGCGCTTTGCCCTGCACCTAATATGATTCGAAACGGCGCTAAAGCACACGCGGTAAAGGCGAAGAGATCAAAACGATCGACAATCGAGAGAATCTGACTATGGATTGTATGCAATGCAACTCAAGGAATTACGGCGTCCGTATGCCGTGCGAGCACGATGCAGAAGTATTGCGCCTCGAACTTCAATGTTCTACGATAAGGTGAGCTCATCGTCGTAAGTTCAGGATGAGACTCACAACGTATCAGCACCCGTTAAAGTTGCTCATATTTTATAATATTATCAGACCCAAATTATTCGTAGATCTCCCACTTAATCGCAAACCCCAGGTCCTTGTCTTCCCCACAGTTCCTTTACGTTTCAGGTGGCTGCAATTTGGCAACATTGTCATCATTTAGCCAGAATCCTTCCAGGCTCCATTATCTTCAAACAGCCCTCTTCTTGCCGTCTCATTCTCGCATCTCTGCTCTTTAAGCACGGAAAAGTCAGTTCATACCATCCCGTCCTCTCGACAAAACGAAGCATCCATATCCATATATTCTCGAAAGTCCCGGGCAGAATCCCCTCAACTCAACCTCCCGCACACTCAGCCTCACCCTCATCTCAGTCAGCAAGCCCATCAACCCCCCACCCCACCAACACCACCAACACCACCACGCAATGGGCATCACCGACCGCCTCCGCTCCTTCCTCGAGCACCGCCGCCTCGAAAACCGCTACCTCAACCGCTCCAAACGCAACACCTTCATCAGCAACGCCGAATACGTCAACGGCGAATACGTCCACGCCGCGCCTCCCACCTTCCCGACGCCCGCGCCCGCCAACCCAGGCGTCACCCCGAAATCCACCCGCCAGGTCCCCGCCCACCCCTCCCCCTTCTACGCCGCTTCTTCCTCCCCGACGTTCAGCTACTACCGCCGCAACTCCTCGAACCCCGCCTCGCCGACCTCGCTGTCGCAGCCGTCGCCGACGATTGCGGAGGCGTGCGAGGCGGAGGTGGGGAGTCCGACGGCGGTGACGCCGAGGGCGCGCGCGTTCCAGGCGGAGGCGAGTGAGCGCCGGCGGAGAAGGTGGTCGGCGTTTGTGGGGTCGACGGGGTCGGAGGGGTTGGGGTGGGAAGGGGGGAGGGATGAGGGAGGGGA